AACTCGCTGCATGCAGTGAATGCATATTTCGATTGACACCCATCTCCTAATAATTTATTTAACTTATAAAAATATTTGAATCTAATTTTTAACAATCTAATTTTTTAACAGGTGGCAACTCTTTAAAAAAAAATAAACCTTCTATTGTCCACAGGTCAAGCTTTTTACTCTGACACTTAATTTTTGAAAATGGAACGAATCGTACAGATCTCAAGGCACTGACAAAAAATTAAAAATTAGTTTATGGATTAGCGAAAAACACATAACTTCAGAAAGTGCAAAAAATTAGCAGGTTTTTATTTCTTCTTTTGAAAGCTAAAAGCCCGTACTATTTAATAAAATAATAAAAAATAACCTATTTTTACATGTATTTGTTATTCATTCCATTAAAATTATGCATTTTTTTTAATTTTGTTTAAAAAAATTATTTTTCTGGAATACCCACAGGGACACCCTGTCTTTAATTTTATTCCAAAATTTTAATTCCTGTAATTCTCTACTATCTATATGGAAACAAGAAACGTCAAACCAACATTTTATTTCAAAGAATATATTTTCGAAATTTTTTTCTGTGAAGAGCTTACGCATGGCTATGCTCTTATTAAAATGCTTAGTATAAAATTTGTCGACTTTAGTGCCTTCCTGGCGGTATATAATTAATTTTTTAGGGAAATGTCTGCTTAATTCTTTTTAGTGGATAAATTGTCTTTACAAAAATACCAAACAAGTTCACATTGCGGATAACGAATTTTTCGATTTTTGCCAACATAGGCGGCACTGTGCGGCTGGTAGATTGATGTGACGGTTGACGGGGCGGGGAGGTTTACTGTTGCTCAGGGGAGCTTCTTGGAGTCATGCAGGTACTTTGCGTGCTAGTTCGCACCTGCGAGTTGCGCGAGCGGGTAACCGTGGACGCTGGTGTTGCCATTTCGCTTGAGCATCAGGGGGCTACAAGGTTTGTGGTCCATTCCCTGTGAGACCTAAGGCCAGAACAGGTTCTTAAGTGATTCCATCCGTTGCAGGAATTGCATCGAACCGAAATACAGTTTGGATGGAGTCGTCTCTGTCAAACGCAGCAGAAGTATGTTTCAGGTCCGGGTTTAGGCTCAATGCCCTCGCGGAGAAGAAGGAAGCAATCCGGCGGAAAGGTATAGCTCCATGGACGTGAAATGATTTAAGGGCACCGCCGATCTAAACGGGGTTAGGTCGCCGAAACAACAGCCCTTGGTCGGGTAAAACCCGAGTCATTCCGGTATGTATAACCGGCTGTCGTGGGAATGATGGGCACTCACGTTACCGTTGACAGTTATAATTTCGGAAAAGTAGATAATTTCGTTTACTTGGGAACCAGAATTAACACCGATAATAATGTCAGCATCGAAATCCGACGCAGAATCACTTTTGCCAACAAGCGCTACTTTGGACTGAGAAGGCAATTCAGGAGTAAACTACTCTTCTCCAACATCAGATTGAAGAAGTCACATGAAAGAGAATTGCCCTGTCTGAAGCCCCGTTTGGTGACGAACGGCTCGGAGAGGTCTTTCCCAATTCTGATGGAGCTGGTGGTATTACTCTATGTCGTTTTGCACAGCCGTAATAGTTTCGCGGGGATACCAAATTCAGACATCACGGCATAAAGACAACTTCTCTTCGTGCTGTCGATAGCGGCTTTGAAATCGACAAATAGATGGTGTGTGTCGATTCTTTTCTAGCGGGTCTTTTCCAAGATTTGGCGTATTGTGAATACCTGGTCTATGGTGGATTTCCAGGCCTAAAGCCACACTGATAAGGCCCAATCAGTTCATTGACGGTGGGCTTCAGTCTTTCACAATACGCTCGAGAAGGCCTTGTAACCTATGCTAAGAAGACTGATCCCGCGGTAGTTGGCGCGAATGGCGGGGTCGCCTTTCTGTGGATTGGATAGAGCACACTTAAATTCCAGTCGTAGGGCATGCGTTCATCTGACCATATTCTGCATAAGAGTTGATGCATACACCTTATCAACTCCTCCCCATTGTACTTGAATAACCCAGCTGGCAGGCTGTCAGCTCCAGCAGCTTTGTTGTTTTTCAGCCGCGTTATTGCTATTCGTACCTCGTCATGGCGGAGGAAAACCTACACAGTCATCATCGACTGGAGGCTCTGGTTCTTCTTTTCCACAACTTACCGTGCTGCTACCATTCAGAAGGGCGGAAAAGTGTTCCCTCCAAAATTTTAAGTACGCTCTGAACATCGGTAACTAGGTCGCTATTGTTGTTCTTACAGGAGTACGCCCCGGTCTTGAAACTTTCCGTAAATCGCTTAACTCTCTGGTAAAATTTTCGGGGATTCTTCCTCTCTCTTCTTATTGCGGCAAATGCGTCTCGCTTCTCTCTTCAGATTCCTATAGCGGTCCCACATAGCGCGCGTTGCGCCCGATCGTAGCGTGGCCCTATAGGCGGCATCTTTTTTCTCTGCAGCTTCCTGGCACTCCTCATCGTACCAGTTGTTCTTTCAGGCTCGCTGAAATCCGACTGCTTCTTCGGCGGCAGTACTTAATGAGCGGGAAACGTGGTTCCACTGCTCGCATATGTCGACTTGTTGAAGAGTGCTCTCTGAGAGCAGATGTGAGAGTCGAGTAGCGAATGCATTGGTTGTCTGTTGTGATTGCAGCTTTTCGACGTTAAGCTTTCCTTGCATATTTGGGCGCACATTCTTTGCTGCACAGAGTCGGGTGCGTACCTTGGCTGCAACAAGATAGTTGTCCGAGTCGATGTTTGGGCCTCGGAGTGTACGTACGTCCAAAATACTGCAAGCATGCCTTCCGTCTTTCACAACATGGTCGATTTGGTTTCTCGTTTTTCGATCCGGAGACAGCTTGATTAATCTTTTTATGCTTGAACCTAGTACTGCATACTACCATGTTTCGGGCCCCGGTGAAATCGATCAGCCTCAGTCCGTTGTCGGACGTTTCGTCGTGGAGGCTGAATTTTGCGGCGGTGGTTCCAAAGATCCCTTCCTTGCCCAACTTGGCATTGAAGTCGCCAAGCACAATTTTGATATTCGTATGTGCGTTCCAAGCGCTGATAGAAGATATCCTTGGATACCTCATCCTTCTCTTCCTTTGGGGCATGGGCGCAGATGAGCGAGATGTTGAATGAGATGTTGTTGTTCTCGCCTTGATGCGGATTATGGCTATACGCTGGTCCACCGGGGTGAACGACAGTACTAGGCGACAGAGTCTCCAAATTCAACACCGAATTTGCGCTCCTTCACATGGCAGCTGTAGTATACGTCGCAAGGCCCCAGGCATTGCTTGTCTTGCCCCGTCCAACGCATTTCTTGGATGGCGGTGGTGTCAGCTTTTGTTCTTAAGAGGACATAAACCATCCGGACATTCCAGGTGCAGCAGCACCTATTGGTGAATAGACGCTGCGAACTTCGGTGAGCCCTTAAACCGAATAAGTCGGAGTGCCCCCCCCCCCCCCCCCCCTGAAGATCCGTCTCTTTCTGCATATAATTACTCTGGTATTATTGGGGAACATTCCCTTAACTACATACCTGCCTAGGGCAGTTAGAATGGGCATAGTGCCCAAAAATATGCTCTCGAAAAGACACTAGTAAAATTTAAACGTTTATACTGAACGACTTACTCGTTTTCATGGGTTGGGCCTTCTTACCAGGGGGTTTCTGGGGTTGCTAATTAGGAATCTGAAGTCAGTTTTTCAAAATTCGAAATGGCGGATCCGAAATGGCGATCCATTTTTTTTAATTGTTGGATTTGTTCGAACACCGACACTCGAGATATTTTGGGGTGGCCGCCTACGAATCTGAAGTAAATTTTTTAAAATTCAAAATGGCGGATCCAATATGGCGACCTAATTAAAAAAGATCACTAAAATTATAACGTTGATAATGATTGCTTTAAACATTGTCAAGGGTTGAAACTCGTTTCCAGTGGGTTTCTGAGCTCGCTGATTATGAATCTGATGTCAGATTTTCAAAATTCAAAAAGCCGGTTAAGAGTTTCGAGCAAATCCAACAACTTTTTTTTTAAAGTTGGTCGCCATTTTGGATCCGCCTTTTTGGATCCGCCATTTTGAATTTTGAAAATCTGACATCAGATTCATAATCAACAACCCCAAAAAACCCCTGGTAACAAGTTCCAACCCATGACAATACGTAAATCGTTCAGTATCAACGTTTTAATTTTACTAGTGTCTTTTCGAGAGCATATTTTCCATTATAGGCCCATTCTAACTGTCCAAGACAGATGTGCAATTAAGGGAATGTGCCCCAATAATACCAGAGTAATTATATGTAAAACCACATTTTTAGCTGCATTTTGACATGTCAAGAAAATAAAAAAATTGAGAACATCAGCGTTTTTATATAAAAAAAAAAACGACCAGCGCGACCTCTAATTTTTTATTTTTTTTAAATAAAAAAATACGCATCTCCTTTTTTATCGCAAATAACAATGATTATGATTTTCCAAAAAGAGTGTTTTTATGAACCATTCTAATATGTACTTATGTAATTTGGTGGAAACACTAAAATATAAAATCGGCATTAGGGGGATAGAATCGTCAAATTGTAATTGAGCTAAATAAATAAAATTATAGTTTAAAAAACTAAAACCTCCCTGCTATAATTGCTATCCGTACTGTCATCAGGTATGTAACTTGAGAATAGCAATCGCTGCATCTTTTAGGGGCATCAATATTACATAGTTACATCCCGAGCTAATAAAATAATATAATAATAAAAAAACGTCAAAATGACGACAAAATCGTCAATTCGGCAACGCTGGTACGCGGTCATACTTTGTGTATAGGACTGTGTCGGCCATACTTACACAATCACATTTTGATTATTTGTTGAAAGCACAAAAGCTCATCGATACACCCAAAAAAATCTACAAATGCAACACAAAGGTTTGTTGTTGTATTTATGATCATATATGTAATTAACAGTTAAGCTATTTATAAGCGTTTGAGATAAAATAAAATGCAATGCAATATTATTTGCCAAAGTAAGTGCAGTATAGTTCATTCGCAGAACATTTATTGTGCGTAGTAGCCTTAAGTTTTAATCTCGTTTTCCGTACAGTTCTTCAAGCATTGCTTCCTGAAACCGCATGCGCACTCGTAATTGCTGCATAGGATCCATCTTATTCATGTAAGGCAAAATTGACCGAAAAAATAGTAAATTCTCATTGTCCTCAGTGCAATATTTGGACTCAGTAGGATTTTCTAGTTCTAGTGCTTGTCTTTTAGCGGGGCATTTGTAGTCCAAGTTGGACACATCCGCTTTATTATCGAGTTCTTGAGGATAAGCTCTTTTGCCGGCATTATAGGTTGGATTCGCGGGTTGAGGCCTTATCATTACTAAAGGCGGCACACCATCATCGATTTGATTTTTACTTTCATCGAAGGCAAATGCGTCAGTCTCGTCTTTCCATATTACATCACACAAATTCGGATCAAGATCTTCCTCCAGTTTGTACACCTTTCTTATGCTTGTAAAGATATTTGCTGTACTCGTAGATGGGGGTAAATGTTGAGACTGTGGCGTTGGAAGGAGAGGTGAAAAAGGCTCAGCCACAATTTTGGTTTCATCCCACGAATTACTAGATTCGGATGAGCGAATATCAATTATGGAATCTGGCTTAATATCGATAACCTTCTCTCTTGGCCTGTGCGTTCCCAATAAGAAGATTAAGTTATTGAAATGAGTCCATTTTGGTTTCTCCTTTTCCTTGATGTAATAGGATTCCCCGGAGCTGTATACCGGAACCCTCTTGACTTCTTTGAGAAATTGATCACGTAAACTTCGCCATCTTGTTTTAGCCACTGTCTCTGAAAGGAAAAAATTATATTGGAGTCGTTATTATGCTTACAAAGTACGTTGTGAAACATGATATAATTTTTAAAATTCGGAAATAAACAAAAAGTGTTAAAATATTACAATCGACTATTTTGATAGAATATTAGGAAAAGAGAATAACTAAACTCCTACCTAAATATACCGTCCTGGTAAATAAATATGTGAATTTGATGAGTTAGATTTACGTTTAGACATCTTTTTTCCATAAACTTGCTTAAAGATTTTGCCTTGTTGAAAACATACTTTCTGGAAATTAAGATAGAGTAATTTTAATGGTTTAGCAAATTTTATCTCTGCATTAATAATTAATAAACGGCTTTAAAATTTTGAACTTACATATCGAGGTCTTATATTCAATACCCTCTATCTGCAATTTTGATAAAAACTAAATTTTTGATGGTTTCGTGAGCTCCAATTAATCTTTCAGCCATGACAATTATGCCAAACTTAAAATATAGCTTTAATGGTATTGTAGTCTCATTTTGAAAATTCCACTATCTGTAATAACACTTTGTTTAAAGAGCAAAATCCTCTATTTACACAATTTTCCTGGAAAATTGTTTTATTAACATTTTGTGGCAGTTAAGTTACATGTGCCTACGTATGTAGGTATGTATGTACATATATGTTACCGGTAAAATCCGATCTTAGATCAAACTAGTTTTGCCCAGGCTAAACTAGTTCTACCTAATCTAATATAGGGACTTACCCTGGTTTTAGAAAACTGTCCTGTTGTCCTGGTCCACACCTAAATTGGTCTGGGTTTTTAATGAAGGTCATTGCAGACGCCAATTTAATTTTTGGCACGTGGTGGCTAAGGATTCGCGTTGATTTTTGATAATTTTTTTTGCTGACGGTGTCACACATTTTTTTTCATACAAAGTATTTACGGGTTGATTTTTTAAATATTCACAACGTTTTTCAAGTCTAATTTATTTTGGTACTTTTCTATTAAAATATTGTCCAATCTTTAGCCAAAACCATATAAATCAGAGTTTTAAACTTTATACAACTATAAAATATACATTAAAATTTTGAGCTCTTTAGTCTGAATCTCTACAGCATTTTTGTGTATGCAGTCTTATATCCCATACAATTGAAGTGCAAGTTTCGCACTGATTTTTAATATTTCTTATCTGCTGAACGATTTTTGCACTTTTTTCCATATAAGCAAGTTAAAAAAAAATCAAAGCCGGTTTTTGTAAATTGCATTTGTTCTATAAAACAAGTAATTTTTAAACAAAAAACAAAACCGACTTCAATTCTCATATAAAAATTTAAGATTATCGTTAATTTCTTCACGATCTATCTATATATTTCTGAGAAAAGAATTATCGAAATCGGTTAACGTGGTCCAATGTTATGCGGTAACATACATAAAAAAATTTATATATATATTTCGACGAACTGATAACCTCCAACTTTTTTGAAGTCGGTTAATAAACCGAAAAGGTAGTCAACAAAAAAACAAAATTAAAAATCAACGCGATTTTTTGGCGCTTAAAACTTGCACTTCATAGATTTATAATTGTATGCGCTATAAAACGGCATACACAAAAATATTGTAAAGATGAATGAAAACTCGAATTTTTTATGAAAATTTTATGAATTTTTCTAAATTTTGTATAAAGTTTGAAATTCTTATTTAGAGGGTTTTATCTAAAGTTTGGACAATATTTTTATAGAAAAATTAAAAAAAAATTACATGAAAAACTGTTTGAAAATTAAAACAAAAACTATATATGTGTAAGTTACTCTATGTTCGAATATATTTTTTGTGTGTAAGAAAATAATATCATCGGCAAAAAAAATATCCACGCGAATTCTTAGCCACTTGAAACTTTCGCTAACTTCCGAATAAAAATTTGTCGTTGTTGTAAAATGTTGGTAGATTTTGTCTAATTTTCAAAAGTTTGAAATTTAGAATTATGTGGTTTTTGTTAGATAATGAGCTTTGTCTTCATAAAAAAATATAAGCATTAAAAATTAAAAATGGTCAAAACTTGTCAAAATGTCGTTTCGCTATTATTTTTGACATAACTGTATTATGACAAATATTCAAATTCTGAGCATTTCATACAACCACATAATCATAATTCATTCATCTCTACGGATTGTGCCACAAAACTACATTGTTTATAATATCGGAAATTACTTCAAAGTTATGCATCGCCAGAACCAAAGCAAATGGCATATTCACTTGTACCTTTGTTTTTATATGGATGATGTGTCCTGTTCGATGGGTTCAGGATTATGGCAGCCCTGCTAATGCGATATAACTGTCCAACCGAAACCAAATTTGATACAACAAAAAATCTTCCATATTCCGTCAAATATATCGAGCCCTAACCGCCAAAATAACGTAAGCGAATTTTTTTTTTTAAATTTTCTTTTGATGCAGAAATGCATGTAGATGCTATAGGAATATTTCTGCATCAAAAAGAAAATTTTGAAAAAAGTGTCGCTTACGTTATTTTGGCGGTTAGGGCTCGATATAGTCATCAAACTCCATTCTATCTCAAGCGTCAACAAGAGTGAAAAACTGCCATTGTTATTCCTATTGCCAAACTAAATGGAAACAATTCATTAATTTCTAACAACAGACCCATTTCCCTCCTCTCTTGCTTATATAAAGTATTACGCTGGAAAAATGGTGAGCGGATGTACAATGCTGTTAAGTCTTTCCTTTACAACCGGAAGTTCGCTGTTCGGGTCAATAACTGTTAATCAAAAACTGTTCCTCGCTTTAATGGTGCCCCACGAGGATTACTACTTTCGGTTATTTTATTCAATATAGCCTTTGGGAAAGTTAGCTCCATCATATTTTTTCTAAGACTAAGGACTTGCCGCAACTGGTCCAAATCTTCAGGAGCTAAGATTTCGGTTTTTTCACATATGCGGAAAACACAAATGTGTACCTCCAATCCTCTCCATGTCTAACAACCCTATCTCCTATACTGACACATTGCAAATATTGGGATAATTAAAGTAAAAACTCTACCGCAGGGGCATTTTCCCAGTTCTATACTCATAAATGGCCTGGGAGCTTACTTTCACAGACGGTGCCAGATATGATACCGGCTGTTCTTTTGCGGTAACAAAAGGGCTTGGTGTCAATTGTCGTCGGAGCTTTTAACGCGTATTGCTCGGCATTTACAATTCCTAGAAGCTGTGCGTTTCGCCTCTAAACGCGAAGGAAATTTCCTCATATGCACGGACACCAAATCAGCCATCGAAGCCCTCTTTAACAGTGCCAACGATTGTCATATAATTTCGAAATCACCTGAAATACTCTTTCGACACAAAAACACCATTAAAATTATGTGGTTACCTGGGCACGTCGGAATAGAAGCGGACGAGTTTATGATTTATGTGTTAAAAACTTAGTTTAACATAATATTTACATCAAAAGAACTGACATTTTTATTACTCTGCAAAACCCCCTATCAGCAATTTTTTTATATACATAAATAGTTACAGTTCGAGTCGCAAAAACCTCTATCTGATCTTTAAACTAAAATAAAATGAATTAAAAGTAAACTCTTAGTTTTAATATATGTATAGCGTGAATTTTTAAGACATGCGTGGGTACTTAAAATTATTGACACTTTTAAAAATAGCTGTCAAAACAGTTTTTTTTCTCTCCTGAAAAATTTAGTTTTTGCAGATAGGGGATATTGAATATATATAAGCCCTCGATATGCTCCCATAGTAAAAATTAAAACATATTGTTTATCGTGAAAATGGTTGAACGGTACAGCTTTGTAATTTTTACAAAACATAGAAGACGTAGCGGTATTTTCTGCCAACTTAACTAAATGTTTGTATTTTTCGGTTTGTAACACTTTTGAATTCAATGAGTAGTGTTCTTTAAAAACTAATTTCAAGTTCTACAATCATACATTCCAATAAAAAAAACCATCATCACTCTCACGATTTTCAAAAAGTAAACTTTTTTGAAAATATGATTTCTCTGCGCAATTTTGCAGAACTTGTTCCCCCTTTTCAGGAACTCTAGAACTATTGAAAAGCTACTCAGAACAGTTTTAATTTTTATTATATTTTTATTTATTTATTTTTCCTTTTTGGAATGTGTTATTTTCAATGTAGCTTTGCAGATATTTCATTTTCATTTTTAGTTAATAGTTTTTTCAAAAACTAAACTTTTTTTCTCTTTTTTTGTCAGGAAGTCCAGAACTATTGAAAAGCTACTCAGATCAGTTCTAATTTTTATTTTTTTTCATACATTCACCTTTTCGACTTTTTTGAAACAAAAAAATGTGTTTTTCGGCGTAATTTTGCTTTTTTCTTCCCGGGAACTCAGTTATTGAAATACTACTCAGAATAGTTTTAATTAACATCTTATCAAACATTCTTTTTTCCTTTTTCGTTGAACAAAATTTTTGCGGAACTTTTTTCCTTTTCAAGAACTCTAGAACTATTCAAAAGCTCTTCAGAACATTTTTGATTTCCGTTTTACCACATGTCGAATGCTGCGTGTATCTGGCATACACAATTTGTGGGAAAAAAATTCTCATAATATCCAGAACGCATTTTTTCCTTTTCAAGTACTCTGGAACTGTTCAATAGCTACTCAGAACACTTTTTTTTGTCTTTTTGCGTCATACCGTATCCCAGCCAGCTGAGAAATGCAAATTTTGCCCACAGTGCAGTCTTGTACATCCTTCGTATCCGGAGACGGACAGAACACGACTACAATTTTCGTTCGTTTTTGTTTCCAAAAACGTTCAGAAAACGGTGCGGTTTCTGCACTCGGAAGCGTACAGAAACGGATTTTAATTTTTTATTCATTTTCATATCCGGAAAACGTTCGAAAAATATCCTGTTATCTGGAAGCAATAATTTATTTTATTTGTTCAAGCTAAAAATTTAAAAGCATGTGTACCTACGTAGGCGGCAATGGCTGAGCGAGCAGAGGCGCTTGTTCCTATTTGTTAGCTATCAGGCGCCT